TCAGATATAAAGTTTTCTCAAGTGACTTTTTTAAATTGGTCTTATTTTATATGAAAGAACTTTAAAAAAATAAATTTGATGAATATTATTTTAACCAAAGTGCCAAAAATATGTACATATTATCAACTTTGTATTCAAAAAAAAGCTTTCCTTCAATAGTTAAAAAATGGGTCTTATTGAAAAGTTCATTTAATGAATTACCTCAAAATATGCATGTTATAAAAATATAAAACAAAACATTATTGACAAAATATTAAACATATTAAAACAGTTATTTTTAAAGTTAAAATTAAGGTCATAATAAAAAGTTTTAAAATATCCTAAAAGCTGTTATTATTGAGTTCTTAGGTATTTCTTGATACCAGAATTAATAATGCCGATGTATAAGAAATGTTTTACAAGTCGCTTACCAGTGCAACTCCTCTCAATAAAGACAAAATTACTGAACTCCAATTATTAGCTGAACAAAATAAATATGATCTAATTTTTATAACTGAAACTTGGTTCAATTCTACTTCTGCTCCATCAATCAATAACTATATGCTATTAAGAAAAGATAGAATTAGTTATGAAGGTGGTGTAGCAATTTATGTTCAAAATGATATAATGGCATGTGAACTAGACAACTCACAGCTAAATAAAAACTTTAAATGCAAAGAATCTGAACAACTTTGGGTTGAAATAAAGTTACCATCAGAAAAATTTCTAGTAGGTTGTATTTATCGCCCTGAGAGGAACTCATCAATTGCTTCAGTACAAATAAATGAAATAATTTGTGCTCTAGGTTACGCTAGATACTTAGTTGATACAAAAGTATATAATGGATTAATTGTGACAGAAGACTTGAACTTTCCAAGCATAACTTGGCAATCTGACTGGAGTATCACACCTGATAATGAAAATAGTCTTGAATACAGGTTCAACGATGCTCTCTGTAACAACCACCTTTACCAGCATGTCGAATGTCCAACTTTTATAAAAACTGATGGAAATCTAAGCAACACACTTGATCTAATTATATCAGAATCAAAAGATAGAATCAACAAAGTTTTAACAGGACCTTGTCTTGGTACAGCCTCTCAAGGCCAGCACAATTTAAGCGGTAGTAATCAAAATAGTTTTAACAGCAAAAAATTCCTTTATAAATATGGTAAATATGGTAAATATGATGAAATAAACACTTTTATAAATAACATAAATTGGCAAGCTAGATTTATGGTTCATGATGTTGAGGAATGTTATTCCAACCAAAAGTCTAACCTCTATAATGAAGCATGCCATAAGTTTATTCCAAAGGTATCAAAAAATACTGCCAAAAAAAGGCAACCCTGGATCACAAACAAGTTAATGAAGCTAATTAGACTAAAAAAAGAGCTCTGGTACAAAAATGCAAAGTCAAAGTGGAAAAATGCAGTGCACATCACAGAGTATGCAGCTGTCAAAAAGGAGGTCAAAAAAAATATACAATATACAATATACAATAAATTCAAAACTGAAAACTGTAAGACTATATAATTAATTCAAAACAAAAATGTCATAAAGTTTTTAAAAATCAGTATCAATCTACAAAAATGTTATACATAAGGTAAAGAAGTTATGCCATTAAAATGTACTATATCAATATTGAAGATATGCCATTAATATATGTTGTGCCATGCCTCTAAACCTGTGCAAGTCAGTTTACACTGGCAAAATAACACCCCTGTAAAAAAAATACTTTTAAAACAGCAAAATTTATTGTTTTTTATGTGGCATTGCAGGCTTTCACAGGAAGACATGCGATTTCATGTCTTTATATGACCACGCAAAAAAAAACGTTTTAACGATTTGACCACGGCATATTTTTTTAATTAGAAAACACGCTACAAAAATTTACCTAAACTTATCTGAAAAAAAAATTTTAAAAATAATAAATATTAACGAAAGAGAAAATAAAAAAAAAAATACTTAGTTAAAGCAAAAACACAAAAAAATAAATATATATATATAACGCAACTAAAACAAAACTCATCAAACTAAAATGCTTAGTCTATTTAATTTACGCATTAAAAAAACTTTTTCAATCTTTGTTTCAACATTTTTATACATTTTTTATTTGTTTAATATGTTCAAAAGTTAAATATTTCTCATAAAAAATACACAGTTATGTAAATAAAATACTTTTTTTAAATTAATTAGAAGTGTTTTTTTTTACTTCATTCAAAGCATTTCGATAATATAAAAGCATTTAAGATCAAACTTATTAAATTGTAACGGTTTTCTAAAACTTTTTTTTTAACAAAATTTTGTTTGTCTTTTTAAATGCATTAACTTAAATCATTCTTATATTTAAATTCGTTAAAGAGACTTTCGTAGTCGTAGAATGTTATCGTTTATAAAAACAAAACAATTTTTTATTTTTTAATAAGATTTATTTTAGAAATGAACACTTAAACAATTTATATGTTTTAAATTAAAAAAATATATACAACTTGTCAATTATATTTAAAAAACACAACTTTTTTTCAGTAAATTGTTACTTTATTTAAAATCTTTTCGCTAATATAAAAATATTTGTTAAGAAGTTTTGATGCAATTAATTTCACTTTTTTAGAATATTTTTTATTTAGCGCGTTTCTAAAATGTTTTTTGAATTAGCCGCGGTCAAACCATCATAGCAAAATGTAACTTGCGTGGTCATATAAAGACGTGAAATCGGAGGTCTTCCTGTGAAAGCCTGCATTGTATGTTTACTTACATAAACAAAAATTGTAAAAAACATCTAGAGCATTAAAAATAAAATATCGCTTTAATAAGAATTACGTAACTGCATTGAGGCATATTTGTTTAGACGCATCGATTTTTTTCTCTTTATCTTAATTTTTTTCTATGAATTGTCAACTGATATGCATGCAAGTTATTATCAAAATAATTGTTGTGTTGTGGGCTAATAAAAACCACAAAAGAATTTTTTCTATGTGTCTTTATTAACACGAGAGTATGTTTGATATACAAAAAGCACATTTTTTAATTGGAATATATCTATAGACCCAACCAGGTTAATAACAGTAATTATTGATTTTTAATTACTTTTACACAAATAAATTGATAAATTTTAGTGTAATTTGATCTTTTGCTCTGCCGGTATCATTTTTTTTATTGCATTTTACATAATGCCTAAAGGAAAGTATTTGACAGATGCTGAAAAAATACAAATTAATTTATATCGTGGCTCAGAAATCTCACCAGCACTTTCTATACAAGAAATAGCAAGAAAAATCGGAAGATCTGACCATGTTGCACGAAATTACATTGCAAAAGGTGACAATTACGGTGTAATAAAAGCAACAAAGCATTAACAAATTGGCAAATTAATCGAATTCGCTTCGAAGCAACCAAAAATAAATTGAATGCAACACAAATAAAAGATAAATTATTATTGCCTGTCACCAATAAACATGTTGCACATATTCTACGTACAAGACTAAACATAAAGTGGAAGAAACCACACCAAAAACCAATGTTAAAAAAACACCATAAAATTGCTAGATTACAGTTTGCTAAAAACCATATGCATTGGACTCATGAGTGGCAAAACTTTTAGATGAAAAAAAGTTCAATTTAGATGGTCCAGACTCTTACAGTTGTTATTGGCATGATCTAAGAGGAATAAAAAGCCCACAAACAAAACAAAATTATGGTGAAGGAAGTTTAATGGTTTAGGGTGGATTTTCTTATTCAGGAAAATTGACTTTGTGTTGTGGTTTACCTAAAATGATCTCGATAAAGTATACAGAAATGTTGGATGATTTTCTCATAACTTTTATGGATGAAAACATGGACGATAATGCCATATTTCAGCAAGATAATGCTGCAACTCACACATCTAGGCATTCTATGAAATGGTTTAAAGATCACAACATCCCGGTTTTTGAATGGCCAGCTTGTAGCCCGGACTTAAATCCAATTGAAAACGTGTGGGGAATGCTAGCAAGAAAAGTTTATGACGCTAAAGCAGCCAGACACCAATTTAAAACTGTTACTGAGTTAAAGTGTAAAGTCCTTGAAGCATGGTCCGAGTTGGATCAAACTACACTTCAACGACTAGTAGAGTCAATGAAAGGCAGAATTTTTTAAGGTGATCCAGTGTAATGGAGGACATATGCATTACTAGTTTCCATCTTTTAATGTCAAAAATATGACTGCGTCTATAGATATATTCCAATTAAAAAATTTACTTTTGTATATCAAACATACTCTCATGTTAATAAAGACAAATAGAAATTTTTTTTTGTGATTTTTATTAGCCCACAACACAACAATTATTTTGATAATAACTTACATGCATATCAGTTGACAATTCATAGAAAAAAAATAAGATAAAGAGAAAAAAATTGATGCGTCTAAACAAATATGCCTCAGTGTATACAATAAAAAAAATGTTAAAAAAAAAATTGTTTATTTAAATTTGAATTATGTAACATAAAAACAAAAAGTATTGAACTCATTTATTTAAATTTTAATTACAAAAGCCTTTGATTATAATTGCTTGCTTTCTTGCTTTAAACTATTTCTGTACAATTTTTAAACTTTTCAAATTAAAAAAAAAAGTTCACAAAGAAGAATAACAAATGAAAATTTTATATATGAAAATACTAAGAAACGCAAAAGAAAATAATATCTATAAAATAATCAATTGTTTTAAAAAAAAAATTTATATGCAATGTTTGTTTTAACAATTTTTCAATAAAACGTTAGAATGCTTGAGTAAATAAAAATCAGAAAAATGATTGTTGCTGCAATTGTTTCTCTGGTGTTTTTATGAAATGGTACAAAACATTACAGTGTAACTAACAAAACTATTACTAAAATCTAATCAATTACCATAATCATTTTATTCCCTTTATGAGCTTTTTATCTAAATATCAGAAGAGCCTGCAAAAATGCTGATAGCCCATGCAAGCACTATCTGCCAAGGCCTGATAATGAATTAATTTATAAATATTACAAATTTAACTTACCAAAACTTAGAAAACATATAAATATAAGCACAATAATTCTGTGGAATAAACTTTTTGGATTACAACATGGAATTGCATCACATCCTTTTATTTCTACTACATCTGACATATCACTTAAGGATTGAGGCCTCGGAGAAGTCATAATATTTTGATTTATCTAAAATAAAATTTAAAAAAATATATATATAATATATATATATATATATATATATATATATATATATATATATATATATATAATATATATATATATATATATATATATATATATATATATATATATATATATATATATATACATATATATTTATATATATATATATATATACATATATATATATATATATATATATATATATATATATATATATATATATATATATATATATATATATATATATATATATACATATATAGTATAATATTGCATAAATATATCATAAGCAGTTTTTTTAAATTTCTATTTTAATATATTTTCCTTCCTGGGGCCAAAAGTAGTCACTAAGAACTCTAACAAATTTTTTCTTTAACCTGTTTTTATAAGTTAAAAGAACAATATTGTTATGGTAGTAAATATAGCATAGTATAACATATATATAATAGACCTTATAACAAATTTAAAAGTTGTTAAAATATTTTTTACAAACAATAACTATTTTTTAAAATACAAATTTACTTCTAAATAAAATGATCTTCTCTAAAAATGATGCCACTGTTTGAGTTAAAAAACACTGTAAAAATAAAAGACTGTAAAAAAGCAAATGTTTAACGAAAAACTTAAAAAATTTATTAACTAAATTAATATATATGAGCAAATTTTTGTTTTATGTGCTGTTTTCAATATTATTAAAAAAATAATAACTTGCAATTGAAATGCGCATATTTTTATAGTTTTTTGTTGAGTAAAGACTTAATATAAAGTCTCAATAAAAACACTCATCTGAAGCAGGTGTTAACTGCACCTATCTACTGTCTTTTAGCAGGCCTTCTAAGCAAAAACTTTAGGTGTAAGTAAAAAATTTATGTTGACCAGCCTTAGATTACTTTATCAATAGAAGGCTAATGATAAAGTAATCTAAGGATAGATGTAAACCTGTGTCACATAGTTTCCTGTCTAGGATAATAAACACAAGATCTTTTTGACTATACTTATGAGTTTTTGCTTGCAGCTTCCGAAAGGAAGCTGCACGCAATTGGCTATGCAACTCTTTCTTTTATCTCCTAATGAGGTTACAGTATTAAATATATATATATTAAAGATTAAAGTTGTTTAGCTATTGAAAAGGTTTATTTAATTTACAAGGTGATTATGAATTATTAAGAAAATCAAATAAAAACATATCTTATTTGTGATTGTGCATACTTATTTTTCTTGGCCAAAATGGATAGAACACTTAATTAATCTGTAATCGCTAGATTATGATATATGAATAAAAACACAAAAAATACATTTTTTTGCAAATGTTCTATCCATTTTGGCCAAGACTATATATATATATATATATATATATATATATATATATATATATATATATATATATATATATATATATATATATATATATATATAAATATATAATAAACCTTGTTTGAGAGTGAGAGAGTTGTTATTTTTCAATATAGGAATGTCAACAATATTGTAATAGTTGTTAGCAGTATATAACTAGGTTTTGTTGGAGTTAAATCTACAAGCCACTGAGAGAGATCAGACTGAAAATTGATGAACACTTTTAAAAGACTATGATGGAAATGTTGTCTGAAACACAAGTCATAGAAGTTTAAAATTGAGATTTGAATTTAGTATCGGAAACCAAAGTGATTTGGAAGTCTAACAATGAGTTAATTGTAGGCAATTGCAATTGTTAAGGCAATTGCTGAGCTTAAAATTACTTAGCTGGAAATGAACTATTTGTATAGGTTTATTTTAGGGTTTTATAAGATTTTTAATTTGAGTAGATAAATTTTGTCCCCATATTTGGCAGCCATACCTTGGGAGGGAATTAAAAATGGCATGCCAAATACTGATAAATGTTTCACAGTTGATAAAATGTCTTATTTTGAAAGCATTCCATTAGCTTGACTTAATTTGCAGGATTTGTATGAACTTGTTGGTGAAACAAGAGATTTTCATCTAATATAATGCTCAAGTATTTATTTTTTTAATCTTTAAATTAAGAATTTTTGTAGATATGTTGTCTTGAGATTTAAAGATAACTATTTCAGACATCTTGGTATTTAAGGAAACTTTATTTGATTATAATCATTAGAAAAAACATTCATTTCGTTATGATTAAGATTTTTATTTAGTTTTTAAAGAGATTTACTACAATAAGATTGGTATCATCAGCAAAATGATATGTTTTGAAGGATTTGACATGTGTTCAGATCATTTATATAAGTGAGGAAGAGTAGAGGATCTAAGATTGAACTGTGTGGAACACCAATACATGTAAACCTAGTATTGGATAAAAATTTTCCAATCTTTACAAACTGAAAGAAATTGGAGAGAAATTTCTTGAATTCAAACTATCAAAGTTTTGTTAAAAAGAGTTATTAGGATCTAACATATGTAAATAAGAACTTTTTGATTTGCTTTTGTTTATCACATTTTTAAAGATTTCAAGATTTTTAAAAATCTCTGAAGCCTAGTTTTATCATTTTACAATCTAATGTCAAGGTATGGTCAGTAACAAGCTACAAATAAGGATATGAAAGCAAGTAATTAGGATTGTCTGTTGCATGCTGGGAAGTTTTCTGGGTGAAAAATTGCAATATCCACACACACACACACACACACACACACACACACACACACACACACACACACACACACACACACACACACGCACACACACACACGCACACACACAATTATTGTTATTAAGTTATAAATATCATTTATAATCAAATAACTATAAATACTGTTGATGTGCTATAACTATATATACTGATGATGTGCAACATTGGTAAGGAAAGAGGCATGAACCTCCTGTTAAGTTTAATCAGTAATATATATATATATATATATATATATATATATATATATATATATATATATATATATATATATATATATATACATACATATATATATATATATATATATATATATATATATATACATACATACTATATATATATATATATATATATATATATATATATATATATATATATTATTGTTATTAAGTTATAAATATCATTTATATATTTATAAATATCATTATATATATATATATATATATATATATATATATATATATATATATATATATATATATATATATATATATATATATATATATATACATATATATATATATATATATATATATATATATATATATATATATATATATATATATATATATATATATATATATATATATATATATATATATATATATATATATATATAAAGAAAGTTAAACTTTAAAATAATTTTTTTAATTTTGTATTATAATATTTTTAATTTTGTATTATATAATTTATAAGCTTTTTATAAGTTAATTACTATATAAGTTAATTACTTATTTGTATACACAAACTACAATATAATCATTATCATATTGATACTATGATTCATTATCATAATATATTATGATAATTTAGTTCAGTAATTATTATAAATACCAATTACGAAAATAAAAATAAATAAATTTTAGTATGTCGAAAACTATGTTTTTGAAAGCTATATTATAATGACCGTATAAATTTAAAATAATCTAAAAATCTCAAGAACCTTGATACACCTTCAGCTAAAATTAAACTTTAAAGTTTTATAAGCAGTATGGCAATTTTTTTTTTTTTTTTTTTTTTGTAATTTTGTAAGTCATGTGATTGACTTTTAAAATCAACAAATCGTAAATAATCTAAGGACATTATCAACCGTCCCCAATCGAGACGATCAATAAAATATGTAATCAATTAACTTGATGATGTCCTTAAAACGATAGATTCGTACCAAACGCAGAATGGTACTTTGGCAAAAGGCTTTATTACTTTAGTTTTAACTGCTCATAGTTAGGCTTTGAAAATGCAAACCCTTTTTTATGAATATTTTATTTTAAAGAACGAGGTGGTAGGACTGAAAGTCTTTGCTTACAGTATTTTGTCGAGAAAACAATCGATTTTAGAACGATAGATTGGTGCCGATTAATAATTAATCGGCAGCAATCTATGTCGCGCGAGCAGCTGTTCGAAAATATTCAACTCATACGGCACCCAATATCCTTACTTTTGAATCATTCCAAGTTGTTTCGAGCGTCTAAAAACTGTTAATTGATCGACTTCCAATGTTTCCGCAAACTCTTCCAGAGTATGGCATGGAAAACGTCGTTACACTCTAGCAGTTAAAATTGAACTGATGTTTGCAGCCTAGGGTTTTAGCTTTCAGGTAAAATTTATTTCAGGCCGATCAGATATTTACCTACCGAATTATGAGTCTCAAAAACTTTCAACATTTAAAGCAAAAAGAGCACGCGAAAAAAAAAATACATTAAAATCTCAGAACAACCCAAAACTTGTCAACAAATATACAACAAACGACTAAAAAATATTGATAGAGTTCGTTCTCTCAAAGATACTTTAGAGAGATTTATTGAAGCTTTTTCTAATATAGTTGATCTTTTGAACTCTCAATTGAAATCAATTTTTATTCCATCTTTAAATAAATTAAGTTTATTGATGCAATTTACCTCTCTTTTGACAAAACGTACCTTCCAACAGACTTATATTAAAATCAAGATCAATTGGAATAAAAAGACAAACAAAATAAACGGATATTAACTAATGTCTAAGAAGCTCTACTAAAGATCGTGATTTTGGAGTCATTTTAATGATGCATATCATCATCCAACGTTAATGGATGATGATATGCATCAACCCACCCACCAGAATCTGAAAATCCTAAAATACCTTGGGAATTAAGGCCCTTTTTTTGTGTTAAGGAGACGCAAATGTGGTACAAAATACAAAAAAAATTCCAATATTCCCTCCGCCTCCTCCCACACACGCATACCATCCGTCACTGAGTGGAGCGCGCATTTTTAAACAGTTGTTCTAAGTCTTTACAAGTTCTTGGTATTATAAGAAAAGACATTTCTTATAGAACTTTGTGACAATATAGATTTAGTTGATTTCAAGTTCTATAATAAGATTATAAGATTTACAAAAACTTTATACAACTTGAAAGCAATATTTTCATCACTTTCATTGAAGAAAATTAAATATTAATTAAATAATACTTAAATATGCAGTGTCTATCTCTTAATTTCAAATATAGCCTTCGTTAAATCTGTTCAACGCAAAGCAAAAAAATGAACTTCCAGCTTGAAATATCGAGACATCTTCAATATCGCAAAAGATTAAAAAGAACTAAAGACTAACTTAGGCTAAGGGGGAAGATGCAAAAGAGTAATGCTTCATTTCCCGCATTTTACCCATGTCCACAATAACAAATTGTGATATAACTTGCTCATTCACAAATATAATCGCAGCACTCATGCAATATTTGACCCGTTTTTGTGTCAACTGCAAAAAGATCATTAAACACATTGAAAAGAATAAAAGCACATAAAGGACAATGTTGGCGCAAAACATTTTGTCTTGACCTAATTGCTATTGATGCAGAAATTGCAGCTCAATTAAATTTAAAAAGGGTTATATACCATATCGGAGCTATGAAGATAAGAAAAAAATTTTAATAGATTTTTTAACTATACTACTACTTGTATTTTTCACTATTTCAAAAGAACAATTAACGATTCTAAAACTAAAATTTATTAAAGAAAAATCAACTAATTTTCTATTCAAAATCTAAAAGACTTACTGTAGGCAGTATATTGGGGTAAAGTATATAAAAAAAGCAACCTTAGAAACTCAAACTCCCATATAACATTTTTATAGATATTTTCTAAAACACTACATTAAACAATTTCCTATTGAAGAAAAAGAAACAAAACTTAAATATTTGAACTGCCCTTCTAATACTAATGGAATCAGTAAATCATCAAAAACAAAGCAAAACTTGACATCAAGTGTTTATAAAATATAATATAATATAATAGTGCTGTACACTTAAAGAGTGATGAGTCCAAACTACGTAGAGTTTGCAACTTTAACAGCTGTAACACACTAACATTCAAACATAATAAAAGTTAGTATTTAAAATGTTTATCCAATTTTTTTTTTGAACTGGTTGATACTGACTGCGTCTATTGTTTCTTGTTCAAGATTGTTCCAGTCGTTTACTACTCTATTTGTGAAAAAATTATGTTTTTTCATATTTTCTGTATATTGCCTTCTCAGTTTACTATTGTGACCTCTAGTTTTATATCTGTTATCTTGCATTTCGGGTTTTGTGTAAAAATTTATAATATCGTACCCTTTCAAATATTTGAACATTTGTATGAAATCACCCCTTCTTCTTCTGTTCTCCAACGATAGTAGATCCAACTTTTTTAACCTCTCTTCATAACTGTATCCTTTCAAAATTAATTCTAGAAGCTCTTTGTTGGACACACTCTAATTTATCTTTACCATACTGACGATAAGGATTCCAGATAGGAGCTGTGTATTCCAAATGTGGGCGTACTAAGGCTATAAACAAGAGTTTCATTGTTTTTTTGTCTAAATATTTAAAAGTGTGTTTGATCTGACCTAGCTTTTGATTTGCTTTATTTACTGCTTTATTTACATGGTGTTTCCATCTGAAATGTACACTCCTAAATCCTTTTCCATGCTTGTGTAGGCTAAAGCTGTATTATTCATTAAAACTTTGTGCTGGCTATTTCCTATTATCATAACCTTACATTTTTGCTGGTTGAATTTCATCAACCACTCATTCGACTATTCAATTAATAAGTCTATATCTTGTTGAAGTTCAATAACATCATTATCGTTTTTTATTGCTCTAAGGATTTTCATGTCGTCAGCAAATAGTTTACAGCTTGATTTTATTAATAATAGTGGTCCTAGCACTGATCCTTGTGGTACTCCACTCACAACCTCTTCCCATTCTGATTTATTATTTCCTATCACCGCTCTTTGAAGTCTGTTCTTTAAAAATCCCTGGCACCAGTCAAATAGTTTGATATAAAACCAAGAGCATTCAATTTTAACAATAATCTTTCGTGATCAACTGAATCAAACGCTTTGGCTAAGTCCAGAAACAAAACTATTACATCCAAACCATTATCAATTGAACATGTGATAATATCTAGAGATTCCAATAAGTTGGTTACATAACTTTTATTATTTACAAATTCATGTTGGTTTTTATTGATTAATTTATTTTCTACTAAACGTTTCATCATTTTATCTTTAATTATTTTTTCCATGACTTTACAAACTACAGATGTTAAAGATACAGGTCTATAATTGCATGGGTTCAACCTGTCACAATTTTTATACAGTGGGACGATATTTGCACACAACCATAATTTCGGAAGTTTACCCGTTTCAAATGATTTATTAAACAACAACGATATTGGTTTGGCTAAAGTAGATTTGCACTCTTTTAGAACTTTTGAATGAACTCTGTCCACTCCAGTTGCTTTATTAGTATTCAGTTTGTTTAAGTATTCTTCAACAACAGAGGCATTAAAATCTGGATTTCTACAGATTTTTTGTTTTTCTATATCTATTATTAGAGCAGATAAAGTTTGTGGTTTATTGAATACTGATGCAAAATACCCATTCAATGTATTTGCAATTACTTTTAAATCAGTTTCGATGCTACCATTTATTAATTGGATTGCTGTTATATTGTCTTTGACTTTACTTTTATTGTTAATATATGAATAAATCTTCTTGGGGTTAAACTTTGAATTTAAAGCAAAATCATATTCAAAATCTTTAATTCTTTGACTCACTTTTTTTTTTAAACAATTGTCTCTGAATTTCTGCCTTCGACATTCGAACCAAACAATTCTTTTTTCTTTTGACAGCGCTTAATTCAGAGATGTTTTGTGTTGATTTGAATGCTTCTCGGTTTTATGATTGGAATAAAGAGTTTACATCCTTCTTCATAAAGGCTTAACCATTTTTCGTAACATTTGTTTATTTCTAAACCTTTGAATTCATCGTCCCAGTTTAAGATTTTAAAATAATTATTTAATTTATCCCATTTCCCTTGATTAAAATTAAAATTTTCTTTTATAAGTACAATGTTGTCAATACACTCTTCATGACTGTAGTTAAATATAATAATGTGATGACCGTGATTAATACCTCCCAATGGTGGAAGGTGTACCAGTTTGTAAACTCAATTTTTATACTCAGCTATAATCAAATCCAGTACATTCGTTACATTCCAATGTTATTTTAAAACGTTGGCTTAATCACATTCTGATGCATGAAGCAATTGTTTAAACATTCTAAGAAAATTTTGGCTGGTGTATCAGTCTCACTAGTTAGTGTGCCATAGTAATCTTCTGTCCACTTGATTGTGCTGAAATTAAAATCCCCACAAATAAGGATTCCAGTATATTTATTTAATAAATTCATTTAATGAGCAAAATTAATAGACTTTGTGATGTTGATACAGTTACTTATGTTACTAATTCCGGTTCTGTAAATACTGCCACATAATACTTTTTCACTTCCTAATTTAATAACGCACCAAATCTGTTCTATATTAGGGTCATTTAAACATTTTTATATTACTTTTTTATTTTACATTTTTATTTTTTATTTTATACGCTTTTATATTGTTTTGTACATATATACAAACTCCTCCACCTCTACCAACGCCTCTGTCTCTTCTAAATAAGGTGTATCCATTGATATTAGTTACTGACTCATTGTTCCACCAAGTTTCACAAATCATAACTACATTAGCTCTGTTAGAGTTAATCACTTCAATACACGTCTTCACAGTTCCGATAATTTCGTGCGCGCGCATTTTTAAATAGTTTGTTATTGTTCATTGTGCGCAGAATCGCATGAAAGGAAGTAAATTAACAGATAAATTAAGAAAGCATCCTTGAAAGAAACAGTTGTTTACGTGAGTTTTCTAATAATATAGATATTTATTTAGCTTTATATGAGATGATTCAAAGTTTAGATTTTTATAAGTTTCTGTTTTAGAATTTTTTTGATCATGGATAAAATAAACTTAGAACGAATTCGTACGTGGAGTGAAAAAGCTCTTAAAGAGTATTTAATATTGAGGAATAAAGATGTTGATGGTGATTTTGAAACTTTGGTTTTCAGGTAAGAAAAAAACGTAAAAATAACATATATATATACGGGCCTACATCCAACATACATAAATACATACAATGTATGAATATATAATACATGCATAAATCCATATAATATATGCATTTATTTATACATATATGACATATGTATCATAATATATGATGCATCATAATATGATTCATATATGCATGTACTACATATTCATACATTGTAATTTTATACTATATTTTTTACTTTTAGTTTGTTCATAATTGTCTTTTACTAATATATACATATCCATGTATGTACATTTATACAACATATGTATGTATTATATATGATTCATATATTTTAATTTATACATAAAAAATTTTTAAACTTTTATTAGAGTGTTTTCTGCCATTGAAAATGAAACACCTATTGATAATTTATTGATAAACTAACTAAAATAAATGACTTTCTTCTGTAGTTTATTAGTACAAATCAAACTCTTTCATGCGATTCTGCGCACAATGAACAATAACAAACTATTTAAAAATGCGCGCGCACGAAATTATCGAAACTGTGAAGAGGTGTATTAGTTCGTCTAACTTATTGTTTAATGAAGTTGCGTTCATAAGCACGTTATTTCGCTGAGTTTTGATTTTATTAGGTACGCGGAAATAGCGATTTACGGAGCCGAATTTTATGCTAAAACTCTGTGACTCGTTTTTTTGACGTTTTTTTTAGGTAGCCTAAGGCAAACGTATTTTTGAGGAGTTTCTTTTTGGAAACAGTATATTTTTGGAAAATAGAAGAGTTAAGCTGGTTTTTTATGTTATTTTTACGTACGGTTGTCAACCATTTTTTGGAGCATTTGGCTCATCAAATAGATTGGTGTTTACTTGTCAAATTCTTGTTGAAGGACTCTTTATTCCGCTTTTTTGATTCTTTAAATAAGTTTTTACATGCATTTTCTTGGGTAGGTTCAAACGGTGGGGCGGGGCGGATCATTTTAACGGAACAAACGGCGGGGCGGACAATTTAACCGTTGCTACCATTTTATAATGTTATATTTCATTAAATAAAATAAAATATAAATGTAAAGTCATATAATGATAAAGTCATATAAATATAAACTCAAAATATAAAGTCATACTTTATTAAATAAAATAAAAAAAACCTTTTTTTATTTTTTTTTTATTTGATAAGTATTTTTTATAGATTCAGATATAGTTTAAGTTTATTAAAGAAACAATATTTAAAAGGTATTTGCAAATTATAATTTTAATAAACGAAGAAAAATATTATATAATTTTAAAACCATTTTTACAAAAAACAACGTGATCCGCCAATTTATATCAAGTGATCCGCCAAACTTTACAAAGTGATCCGCCTAATATTTCAATCGATTAAATCAAACTCTTAAAGTTTTAATAATTTTCCTACCAAAATACAACGTGATTCGCCATTTATCCGCCATTTATCCCCATTTATCCGCAATTTATATTTTTTTATATTATAAATTGGCGGATCACGTTGTTTTTTGGTTGAACAATCATTAAAACTTAAAAAGTTTGATATAAGCAGTCAAAATATTAGGCAGATCACTATATAAAGTTTGGCAGATCACTTGATATAAATTGGTGGATCACGTTGTTTTTTCGCAAAATAATCATTTAAATTTAAAGAGTTTGATATTAGCAATCAAAATATTAGGCGTATCACTATATAAAAGTTGGCGGATCACTTGATATAAGTGGCGGATCACGTTGTATTTTGGTAGGAAAATTATTAAAACTTTAAGAGTTTGATTTAATCGATCGAAATATTAGGCGGATCACTTTGTAAAGTTAGGCGGATCACTTTGTAAAGTTTGGCGGATCACTTGATATAAATTGGCGGATCACGATGTATTTTGGTAGAACAATCACTAAATCTTAAAGAGTTTGATATAAGCAATCAAAATATTAAGCTGACCACATCATAAAGTTTGGCGGATCACGTTGTAACAACGTGATCCGCCAAACTTTTTCGTAGTTTATTAAAATTATAATTTGCAAATACCTTTTAAATATTATTTCTTTAATGAACTTAAACTATATCTAAATCTATAAAAAATACTTATCAAATAAAAAAAAAATTAAAAAAGTTTTTTTTATTTTATTTAATTTATTATTTTATTTTATTATTATTATATTTAATTTATTATTTTATTTTTTTATGTCTTGCATTAGCAACGTTTAAATTATCCGCCCCGCCGTATATATATATATATATAAATATATATATATATATATATATATATATATATATATATATATATATATATATATATATATATATATATATATATATATATATTATATATATATATATATATATATATATATATATATATATATATATATATATATATATATGTATATATATATATGTATATATATGTATATATATATATATATATATATATATATATATATATATATATATATATATATATATATATATATGTATATATATATGTATATATATGTATGTATATATATATATATATATATATATTAAATATATATGTATGTATATATATAAATATATATATATATATATATATATATATATATATATATATATATATATATATATATTTATATATATATATATATATATATATATATATATATATATATATATATATATATATATATATATATATATATATATATATATAGTGGCGTAAGAATAGGGAGGCGGAGGGGGCTATAGCCCTCCCCCCCCCCCAACTAAAACACTGGGGGTGGACGCTTCATTTAGCCCGCCCTTCCTTTGTAGAAATAGTGACATTATTCATTTCTTGTTTTTATATTGTTTTTATATTGCTTTATATTGTTGTTGTTTAAACTTATTGTTATTTCATTTAGAAACTAACATTGTTTAAGATATAATTACAATTGAGAACAACGACTAACTTTTGTTTATGTTAGTTTCTTATGCATTCTATGGAATTTTAAAGAAACACTGGTATTTCAAAGATAAAAACTTCTTGTCAGTGGTTGAAATTGTAATTCACTTACATATTCATTTGAAGTTTTTAATGTACACACAAAAAGTAGGATTTTGCTAACCTTTTTCTTTCCTACATTATGTCCACAATAAGCTTACCTTGCCAGGTCCCAGGATGCAATGTCGTCATTGAAGGTCCCAGCGAAGCTATTGCAATTGCATTGCATTATTCAACAGTCACCAGCTTCACCATCCTCCAAACTCGATTGACACTCATTCAGCCTTCTCAAAACACAAGGCACCTTCAACATTCAACACATATCCACACCAGATTTTACCTTATATGGAGGGACCTCCAAAGTATTTTAATTCAAGAAAATGCCAAACCAGTTGCAGCATTTACTCCAGCCACCATACCAATCCATTGGCAAGACCAGTTGGAAAAGGATTTAATTCGTGATGAAATTCTTGGAGTTATTGAAAAGGTACCTCTAGGAGAACCTACAACATGGTGTCATAGAATGGTTATCACACGTAAACATGACGGTGGGCCTCGTCGCACTGTTGATCTATCTCCTTTAAACAATTACTGCTACAGAGAAACTTATGCAATGAAATCGCCTTTCCAACTAGCTCGTTCAGTCCCAAGAAATTCATGGAAAACTGTAACCGACGCATGGAATGGTTATCATAGCATCCCGATACGGGTTGAAGACAGGAATCTTACCACCTTCATTACTCCTTTTGGGCGCTACAGATAGATCCGAGCTCCTCAAGGTTTTGTATCTAGTGGGGATGGCTACAACAGACGTTTCGACGAAATTTTAGCAGACTTTATTGGCAAACAAAGATGTGTAGATGACACCATCCACTACGATGACGACCTAGTCAAACATTGGTGGCGGACAATCGAATTTCATGAGCTTGTTGGTAAAGCTGGGATCATTTTGAACCCACAAAAATTCCAATTTGCTAAAAGAATAGTGGATTTTGCAGCTTTCAGAATATCTGAAAATGGAGTTGAACCACTACCTAAATATATCGACGCCATTAGATCATTTCCAACACCATCCTCAATAACAGATATCCGATCTTGGTTCGGCTTAGTGACCCAAGTATTACATTACGCTCAACTTCGAGAAACTATGGCCCCATTCAGAGTTCTGCTTAGCCCTAAATCAAAATTTTATTGGTCGGACGAACTCAACACTTTATTCAACGTGTCAAAGGAAAAAATCATCAACGCAATTAAAGATGGAGTCCAAATATTTGACATTACCAAGAAGACCTGTTTAAGATGTGACTGGTCAAAATTGGGGATAAGACATTACCTAAGCCAAAAACATTGTAAATGTAAATCGGACTCCCCAGATTGCTGTATAGACGGATGGAAAATAACCCTAGCAGGGTCCAGATTCCTGTCATCTGCTGAACAACGATATGCACCAGTTGAGGGCGAAATGCTAGAGTGGCATGGAGCCTGGAGCAGACTAAATATTTCACACAAGGTTGTGATAACATTATGGTAGTGACTGATCAAAAACAACTTGTCAAATTATTAGGAGATAGGACCTTAGATGAAATTGCTAACACACGACTTTTCCGACTAAAACAGAGAACTTTGCCATGGAAATTTACCATCCAACATCAACCAGGAAAAACAAACCTGGCAGCAGATGCTACTTCTTGTTACCCTGCAGAGAACACAAAGGAATCTGATAATTCAGCCACTTGCAATCAAAATACCGATTTTGACAACACAGAATCACTAATAATAGCCTCGATACGAAACGAGATAGATAAAATGATTGCTGTAACATGGGATAGTGTCAAAGCAGAGACAGAAAAGGATACCGATTTTAAAGCATTAATGTTAGCAATAGAAAACAGTTTCCCAAAAAATAAGAATAACTTCATACCAAATCTTTTACCGTTTTGGGAATACCGCAATGACTTGGTGGTGTCCGACGGGGTTATAATATACGACGACAGAATTGTAATTCCACCTACTCTACGGAAAGAGATATTGGACGTACTACACTCAGCCCACCAAGGAGTATCGGGAATGACAGCCAGAGCTCAAGGCACTGTTTTCTGGCCAGGTATCACTCACAGCATACAAAGTAAGCGCGATAACTGTTGCAGCTGTAATCAAAATGCACATTCTAATGCACGACTACCACCCATCCGACCTCACATCCCTGTGACACCATTTGAATGCATATTTGCTGACTATTTTGAATTCCGTGGCTGGGATTATCTGGTCATTGGAGATAGACTTTCTGGATGGACCGAAGCCTACAGAATAAAATCAGGAACATCAGAAATGAGTGCAAAAGGTCTTATCACGTGCTTACGTAAACTATTTACAACATTTGGAGTCCCAGAAGAAATTTCAACCGACGGTGGTCCTCAATTCACCTCTGGAGAAACAAAAGAGTTTCTA